ACGTATAGTGCCACTCCCCCACCAGTACGACCTGCTCTGTCCTTCCGATATATTTCATACCCTGGTATAACTGTGTCCCATTGATTGTCCTCATTCCACCAAGTTTCCATGATGCCTGTTATATCAATATCCTCCTTTAAAACTAGGTACTCTAGTTCATCCATTTTACTATTTAGACTTCTAGCATTTGCATATAAGCACTTTAATAATTTGTCACTATTTATTGGTCTGCCATTTCCTGATGTTAAACTCTTTTTCATTTGATTGTGTCTCATTTGATCTGACTCATACTTCCATCCTCTCCTCCTGACTAGAACATAGAGCATCTCTATTAATAGAACCTCCCCTAATAGATGTCTCTGTCTGATCCACGGGCTTCTCCACATCTGTCAGCTTTCCCCCAGTCCTTAGTTTAAAAACTGTTCTACGACCTTTTCAATGTTAAGTGCCAACAATCTGGTTCCATTTTGGTTTAGAAGGAGCCAATCCTTCCTGTATAGGCTCCCGTATCCCAAAAGTTTCCCCAGTTCCTAATAAATCTACACCCCTTCCTCCCTACACCATCGTCTCATCCATTCATTGAGACTCTGAAGCTCTGGCTGCCTATCTGGCCCTATGCGTGGAACTGGAAGCATGTCAGAGAATGCTACTATAAAGGTCCTGGATTTCAATCTCTTTCCTAGCAGCCTAAATTTGGCCTGCGGAACCTCTCTCCTACCCTTCCCCATGTCATTGGTATCTACATGTACCACGACCACTGGCTCCTCCGCAGCACTACACATAAGACTATCTAGATGTTTCGAGAGATCCACAACCTTCGCATAAGGGAGGCAAGTCACCATACGGTTCTCCTGGTCATCACAAACCCAGCTCTCTATGTTTCTAATGGTCAAATCCCCCATTACTAACACCTGGCTTTTCCTAAAGAGTGGTGTTCCTGCCCCCGGAGATGTATCCTCAGTGCGAGAGGGTACAACAACATCCTCTGGAGGAGGCTCCCAACTACGGGATTGTTTCCTTCTGCTCCAGTTGAATCTTCTCCTTTCCTGACGCATAAGGGAGGCAAGTCACCATACGGTTCTCCTGGTCATCACAAACCCAGCTCTCTATGTTTCTAATGGTCAAATCCCCCATTACTAACACCTGGCTTTTCCTAAAGAGTGGTGTTCCTGCCCCCGGAGATGTATCCTCAGTGCGAGAGGGTACAACAACATCCTCTGGAGGAGGCTCCCAACTACGGGATTGTTTCCTTCTGCTCCAGTTGAATCTTCTCCTTCCCTGAGCCTTTCATCCTCCTTAACAGTACAGGGGCTGTCTGATTGGAGGTGGGACAATTCTAGAGTGTCCCGGAAAGCCTCATCTACTTACTTCTCGGCCTTCCTTAGCTCCTCCAATTCAGCCACCCTGGCCTCCAAAGCTCATACACGGTCTCTGAGGGCCAGGAGCATCTTGCACCAAATGCACACATACGCCACCTGTCCATAGGGCAGGTAATCAGACATGCTACACTGACTGCAATAAACAGGATAGTCCCCGCTCTGCTGCTAAGCTTCTGCCTGCATTCTCTCCTACAGCTACTTAGGTTATTGAGAGGGTTTGTATTTAAATCAGGAAGTTTTGTTTTTATTTTAGTTTAAAAGTTTTAAAGAATGGCAAGAGTACCTCAACCCCTTCCAACTCCCTCTCAAAACTCCCTGTTAGCTGCCCCTGGTTGCTTACTCATGGGCTTTATAAAGCCCTGGCCTTCCTGATAGCCCCGTCCCCTGGCTAAGGCTCAACCAATGAACAGAGTCTAGATTTCAAATCCTCCTTAAGAAGCTCACAGCTTCCAACTACCAGCCAAAGCACAGGGCCCTTCAAACAAACAGCTCAGCACTCAAATCTCCAAACAAACAGACAGACAAGCACAAACTCAGCCCACAGTTTATTTCAGGCAACTAGCAATCAACTCCAAAACACAAACACAAACTTATTTCAAGGGTCCTGTATTTCCTCCTTCTTCTCCTGGAGAACTCCCTCTCGAAACTCCCTAGTAGCTTCTCTTTTCTAAACTAAATAAGCCCAGTTATTCCAGTCTTCCCTCATAGGTCTTCAAGACTTTTAATAATTTTTGTTGCTCTGCTCTGGACCTTCTCCATAACTTTATTGAAATGTGGAGCCCAGAATTGAATACAGTATTCCTGTTGAGGCCTAATCAATGCAGAGTAGAGTGGAAGAATGACTTCTCGTGTTTTGCTCACCACACTCCTGTCATTGCAGCCCAAAATCATGTTTGGGTTTTTTTGCAACAGTGTCCCATTGGTGACTTATATTTACTTTGTGGTCCACTATGACCCCATGAGCCCTTTCTGCAGTACTCCTTCCTAGACAGTTGCTTCCCATTCCTTATGTGCGAAACTGATTGTTCCTTCCTAAATGGAGCAGTTTGCATGTGTCCTTAGTGAATTTCATCCTATTTACCTCAGACCATTTCTCCAGTTTGTCCAGATCATTTTGAAGTATGACTCTATCCTCCAAAGCACTTGTAACCTCTCCCAGCTTGGTATCATCTGCAAACTTAATAAGCGTACTCTCTATGCCAATATCTAAATAATTGATGAAGATATTGAACAGAACTAGTTCCAAAACTCATCCCTGTGGAACTCCACTTGTTATGCCCTTCCTGCAGGACTGTGAACCATTGAGGATTACTCTCTGAGAGCAGTTATCCAAACATTATGCACCCAACTTATAGTAGCCCCATCTACGTTGTATTTCCCTAGTTTAATGATAAGAAGGTCATGTGAGTTGGTATCAAATGCCTTACTAAAGTCTAATTATAGCACATCTGCTGCTTTCCCCTATCCACATAACTTGTTAGCCTATCAAAGAAAGCTATCAGATTGGTTTGACATAGTTTATTCTCGACACAAATGTGCTGTTTGCTACTTATCTCATTATTATTTTCCAGATGTTTGCAGATGGATTCCTCAATTATTTGCTCCATTAATCTTTTCTGGCACAGAAGTTAAGCTGACTGGTCTGTAGTTTCCTGCATTGTTCTTATTTCCCTTTTTATAAATGGACACTAGATTTGCCTTTTCTAGTATTCTGGAATTTCTCGCATCTTCCATGACTTTTCAAATATGACAGCTAATGGCTCAGATCTCCTCAACCAACACCTTGAGTATTCTAGGATGCATTTTATCAGGCCCAGGTGACTTCAAGATATCAAATTTTTCTAAGTAATTTTCTAAGTAATTAGGCATCCACCAACTTTCTTGATGAAAACCATCACAAAGAAGTAGTTAAGCACCTCTGTCATTTCCACATTTTCTGTTATTGTTTTTCCATCTTCACTGAACAATGAACTTACCCTGTCCTTGGTCTTTCTTTTGCTTCTAATATATTTGTAGAATATTTTCTTCTTACTCTAGCTAGATTAAGATCCTTTTGTGCCTTCACTTTTCTAATTTTTCTGCTACAGACTTGTGTTATTTATTTATATTAATCATTTATACTTTGACCCAGTTTCTACTGTTTATAGGACTCTTATTTAAAGATCATTCAAGATTTCTTGGTTAAGCAGGGTGGTCTCTTGCCGTACTTCCTGTCTTTCATACACAGTGGAATGGTGTGCTCTTGTGCCTTTAATAATGTCCCTTTGAAAAACTGCCAGCTCTCTTTAATTGTTTTCCTCTTAGTCTTGCTTCCCATGGGACCTTACCAACCAGCTCCCTTAGTTTACTAGTTTCTGCCTTCTTGAAATTAACTGTCTTTATTTTACTGTTCTCTCTTCTACCATTCCTTTGAACCATGAACTCTGCCATTTCATGGTTACTTTCACCCACGCTGCCTTCCACTTTCAAATTCTCAACCAGTTCCTCCCTATTTTCTAAAATCAAACCGAGAACAACTTCTGCTCTAGTAGCTTTCTCCAGCTTCTGAAGTAAAAAAATTGCCTCCAATGCAGTCCAAGAACATGTTGGATAATCTGTGCCCTGCTCTTGGTTTCCCAACAGATGTTTAGGTGGTTAAAATCCTCCATCACCACTAAGTTCTGTGCTTTGGATGATTTTGTTAGTTGTTTTAAAAAAAGCCTCATTCACCTCTTCTTCCTGGTTAGGTGCTCTATAATAGACCCCTAACATGATATTACCTAGGTATTATACCACTGATTCCAATAGGAAAAGCAGTTTTAATTTAAAACATTTTGACTTACAACACAGTTCTAAGGAACACATTATAGTGTAAGGCTATAAGTGCTCAGAAGCAATGGAAATGTATCAGCAAAGTCTCATTTTCCAGTTGTTCCTACACACACATCAATCTGCAGCAGCATTTCTATGCACAAACAAACCTAGACTGGGGCATGAGTGGTTGGTATATGAGTAGGGCTCGCCCAAATTCACGGTCAAGTTTGGTCAATTTCACAATCAGAATTTTTACAATGGTAAATTTCATTATTTCAGCTATTTAAATATGAAATTTCTCAGTGTTGTAATTGTAGGGATCCTGACCCACAAAGGAGTTGTGTGGAGGTCGCAAGGTTATTGCATGGAAGGTGAGGTATTGCTACTCTCACTTCTGCGCTGCTGCCTGCAGAGTTGGGCCCTTAGTCAGCAGCTGCCATTCTCTGGCCACCCAGCTCTGAAAGCAGCAGCATAAAAGGCAACATGGGTATTGTGTTGCCATCCTTACCTCTGTGCTGCCTTCAGAGTTGGGCACCCGGCCAACATTACAACCACTATTCTCCAGCCGCCCAACTCGGAAGGCAGTGCAGAAGTAAGAAAGCAATGCCGTGACCCTCCTAAAATAAGCTCGTGATCCCCCTGCAGCTCCCTTTTGGATCAGGACCCCCAATGAGACGGCACGAATTTCTCCAGGGAGGGCAAGAATTTCTGCTGGTGTCTCTTTACCCTTGACATGAAGTCTCCATAGGAAGACGTTGGAAGGCAGTCAGCAGGAGGAGTCCCACTTCCCGTACTAAACTCTGCCAAGCTTTTCCCTTTCCAGCGTACCTGGTTTCTTTAGACCCAGATCTGTGCTCCGGCTCCAGGCAACTGTCTCATGCAGAAGCTTCTGGAGGCTCTCCTCATCCACCCGCAGCAAGATGTTCTCTGGCTTGATGTCTGCGTGGATAATCCGGCAGCTGCCGTGCAGGAACTGCAGCCCTGCCAGGACCTGAGGGAACCAGAGACAGTGAATTACACCAAGAATAGTGCAGAGACCATCCCAAGGAGCAGTTTCAGATGATGTCACAAGAGCAGGAGCGGCCTGAGGCCAGCTGCAGCAGCTGGTGCCCCAGGCATAAGGCACGATCAGCGCCCCACCTGCATGGCCGTCAATGGCCGTGACATAATCACAGGGCGCCTGGGTGCCCCATGATATCATCATCGGGCGCCTGGGCTGGCAGCGCCCTAGGTAACTGCCTAGTATGCCTAGGCTCACAGGCTGCCCCTGCACAGGAGAGAAGCCAATGTAACAGACTTGGTGTCTCAGAAAGATTCTGATGTCTATGGAGAACATAAGAACGGCCATACTGGGTCAGACCAAAGGCCCATCCAGTCCAGTGTCCTGTCTGCCCACAGTGGCCAATGCCAGGTGTCCCAGAGGGAGTGAATTGAACAGGTAATAATCAAGCGATCTCTCTCCTGCCATCCATCTCCACCCTCTGACAAACAGAGGCTAGGGACACCGTTCTTACCCATACAGGCTAATAGCCAGGGCTTGCCAAGTGGCGGTGAGCCCTGCTCGCCAGCTGCATGGTTCTGTGCTCTGCGCATATCGTTCTGCACTGGCTCTTCTGGGGTGTAATCTACTTACCACGGGAGAGTAGATTACATTATTTATCGAGCACTGCTAATAGCCATTAACAGATATAACCTCCATGAATTTATCTAGTGTGCTTTTATAGTCTTAACCTTTACAACCTCCTCAGGCAAGGAGTTCCACAGGTTGACTATGCGCTGTGTGAAGAACTTCCTTTTATTTGTTTTAAACCTGTTGTCCATAAGTTTCATTTGGTGGCCCCTAGTTCTTATATTATGGGAACAAGTAAATAACTTTTCCTTATTCACTTTCTCCACACTACTCATGATTTTATATCATATACCCCCTCAGTCTCCTCTTTTTCAAGCTGAAAAGTCCCAGTCTCTTTAATCTCTCCTCATATGGGATCCGTTCCAAACCTCTAATCACTTTAGTTGCCCTTCTCTGAACCTTTTCTAATGCCAGTATATCTTTTTTTGAGGTGAGGAGACCACATCTGTACGTAGTATTCAAGATGTGGGCGTATCATGGATTTATATAAGGGCAATAAGATATTCTCCGTCTTATTCTCCATCCCTTTTTAGTGATCCCTAACATCCTGTTTGCTTTTTGACTGCTGCTGGACACTGCGTGGATGTCTTCAGAGAACTATCCACGATGACTCCAAGATCTCTTTCCTGATTAGCTGTAGTTAAATTAGCCCCCATCATATTATATGTATAGTTGGGGTTATTTTTTCCAAAGTGCATTACTTTACATTTATCCACATTAAATTTCATTTGTCATTTTGTTGCCCAGTCACTTAGTTTGGTGAGATCTTTTTGAAGTTCTTCACAGTCTGCTTTGGTCTTTACTACCTATATGTATAGTTGGGGTTATTTTTTCCAAAGTGCATTACTTTACATTTATCCACATTAAATTTCATTTGCCATTTTGTTACCCAGTCTGGTGAGATCTTTTTGAAGTTCTTAACAGTCTGCTTTGGTCTTAACTATCTTGAGCAGTTTAGTATAGTCTGCAAAGTTTGCCACCTCACTGTTTACCTCTTTCTCCAGATCATTTATGAATACATTTAATAGGATTGGTACTAGGACTGACCCTTGGGAACACCACTAATTACGCCTCTCCATTCTGAAAATTTACCATTGATTCCTACCCTTTGTTTCCTGTCTTTTAACCAGTTCTCAATCCACGAAAGGATCTTCCCCCTTATCCCATGACAACTTAATTTATGTAAGAGCCTTTGGTGAGGGACCTTGTCAAAGGCTTTCTGGAAATCTAAGTACATTATATCTACTGGATCCCCCTTGACCACATGTTTGTTGACCCCTTCAGAGAACTCTAATAGATTAGTAAGACATGATTTCCCTTTACAGAAACCATGTTAACTTTTGACCAACAAATTATGTTCTTCTATGTGTCTGACAACCATAGAACCATAGAGATGGAAGAGACCTCACAAGGTCATCAAGTCCAGCCCCCTGCCCTAGCCTGGACCAATTCCAACTAAGTCAACCCAGCCAGGGCTTTGTCAAGCTGAGAATTAAAAATCTCTAGGGATGGAAACTCAACTACTTCCCTAGGTAACCCATTCCAGTGCTTCATTACCCTCCTAGTGAAATAGTTTTTCCTAATATCCAACCTGGACCTCTCCCACCACAACTTGAGACCATTGCTCCTTGTTCTGCC